AAACATGATCAATTTAATTTTTTATTTACAGTAAACATTTATTTATTTATTTGGAAACCAAACAATATAGTTTTTATTAATTTATCAAATAAAACTATAAGATTTATAACAATTAAAATGTAGGGTTGTATTTGCATTTTACGTTGCAAGCACGGTTGCCACTTGAAAATTTTTTTCTGTACCAAAATTGGTTTAAAAAGGTACCATTTCTGTAAAAAAAGGTCCAAAATTTTTCTATTGTCTTTTTATAAGAAAATACAATTTATATAAAATGTACAAAAAGTATAAAACATACAATATCCACAATAAAGTTGGGTCGCCGAAAATGTACCATTTTTTGAACATGAGTACCAGAGTACCAAACGGAAAAAAAAGTACCAATTTTGGTACTAAAGTACCATAAGTGGCAACCGTGGTTGCAAGCAATCAAAAACAGTAATTTTTGATTAAACAGACCTAATTGGTTTGTATTTAATTTAATTGATTTGTGTCAATTGTTTTGTGTATAACATATAGTTAAAATTTTATTTGTTTTATTTATTGTAATAATACAAATAGATTTATGAAAACCTATTTAAAAAAATATTGTTATTTGAATTTTTTATATTGGAAGCAAATACTATCTTGAATTGAATTTAATATTAATTTCTACTTGATCTCTGTACGCATAAATACAAATAGCGACAAGTTTATCGTTTAGTGGCTTATAGCTAACGTTTACATAAGTTGTGTTCCCGTATCTTCAGCGGTCAAAACTAGCAGAAGAAAGCAATATACTAAAACTTATTTCCCTTTGTTATCTATATTTACTAGTTTTTAGTGTACGGAAACGCGAAACTAGCAATAAAAGTAAAAACTTACAACAATTAGTACAAGTTTTTGTATATGGTAGCACAGCTATTGTGCTTCGTCACATTAATATAAGCTTTATTGATACGTTACACGTTAGGAAATAATAATATAGAAATAAAAAAAGAAATTATAACGTTCTAAGGAGGAAATAGCTAATAAATTTAAAATGAAAACTGCATATTTTAGTATATTAAAAAATTTTAATATGATAATAGTACTATTATTATTACGTTAATTACTATTAAATATTGCTTATCGCATTACAAAAAATAATATAGCAATGAATTTATAATTGATTCTCATGATATTTCTACTGAAATTTGTCAACCGTAACGATGCACTAATATCTAACAATTGCAATATACCAATATAATACTAACTTACACAACATAGTAAATTTACAATAAGCTCTCATATCGTTTATGTTTTTGTCAACGCCACGTTAAAATATAAATAATATCCCAATGCTGTCATTTCTATCTAGAATACAGGTCAAAATTTTGTATACTTTTAATTATAAATTACACTACCTTAGTTGTACCTTGGTTAACTTACCAGTTTAAGCTTAAATTAATAGCACGCACCACGTTTCTGAACAATACAACATGTGATTTGCACATTTTCGTTTTAAGATTTATTATATTTTATTTTTTCATTAAATTAGCAAACGCACGTCCAGTTTTATAAAGCAAATTATCTTCAATAATAATACCCCCATCCCGATGTTTCGTAAATATTCTAACCCTTTTCCCGAAGGGGTGTTATAATAAACAGTAATGATACCATGTCTAGTATTAAAGAAGAATCACTCTTGCCAATAGTTACTACTTTTTGCTATTTGAAATGCAGCCCTATCTCGACATATAAAAATCAGGTTCCTGCTGCGCGGTGCGGAAATTTGTACAATAACCAACAGTGCATTCGATAAAAACACTTATTGATATCCATAGTTCCTTACGCACTTGTAAAAAGTATTGAATTAGATGGAACGATAAGCTGAAAGAACTATATTGTAACGTTGCCGGTAGACAGTAGGGGACGTTCATACCTCTGATGAAATAATGAGATCAGATCAGAAGTAAGATTAAAGTTCATATCTTTGTTGGAAGGATGAGAACAGATCAGATGTAAGATTAGAAGAAATAGGAAATTTTAATATAAGAAAATTAATAATAGCCAAAACTTTTGTTGTTCATGCATTTATTTTTGATTACTTGTAATCTATTAAAATAGATTTTAGATTCATTTGAAAATATTTTCTTGTCCATCACTTCAAATATTTATTACATAGTTTCTGTATGACTTAAAATTAAATCATAAATTTGTGATATTGTTGAAAGAGTTCATAATATTGTTATAATAAAATAGTAGAATTGGCTCCCGTTGGAATAGAATACATTAACCTTATGAGACATTTTATTACAAAAACCAATCCCTAATCTAATAAAAGATACTCTACATGCCTAATGAATGCAAGAGTGCTGGTCTATGATACTAGAGTGTGTTGAGTAATGTAATTAGTATAGTATATGCAGTTATTGTTTCTGTGTGTGTGTATATGTGTGTGATTGTTTCCACTTCTACTAAGAATAATTTTCTACTTTTACTGTGAAAAACTAAATTGCGCCAATTTCATGCAGACATTTTCTGTGTTAACGTTTTTCACTAGAAATCTTTCTTTGTCTTTAATTTTTTCAACATAAATTCGCTTTTCCTTTTACAATAAAAAAAAAGCAATGCACAGAAAACCAAAACAATTTCAGTTGAAAATAAGTTCGTGTGACTTTGCGTGACAATAATTCGACTAAAAATAATTTTCCTCAGTTGTTTACGTGACTCATTGCACTTTTCCGACTAATACCAAAGCATTTCGCTGAAATAAAATTTTATTAAAAATGAAGGTGAAAATCCACAAGTGCTTTTTTCGACTGCATAAATTTATAAATATTAAATATAAAAAAATAATTATGAATTTATATATATAAGACACAAATATGCATAATTTATTTATAAAAATATTATTGAAACAAAGAAAGTGTGTGGTTTTCGCATAAATACTATATGTATTGCCTTTCAAAATATTAATTTTAATGTTTTTATTGCTTGTAATAAAAATTAATTATTTCAGTAATTTAATTTAACAAATGTACTGTAACTAAAACTTATTTCAATCCAATGATTGCAATTCAAAAAAAAAAATATTCGCAGTTACTTTGTAGCGTTTCGTATTGTAGATAAAAATTTATGATTTTAATTTAAATTTATGATTTTGGATTTTAAAATTTATAAGTTTAATCTACTATTAATTTATGATTTAAATTATAATTTAAAAAAATGCAAATAAAAAGTGTTGCCAACCCATCTAGGTATATTTATGGTATCATATTATGATAATACTAAAAAATCTTAAGTACATTATAATCTCTAATGAAAAATTTTAGGACATTTTTTTAATAAAATATTAAAATGTACATCAAAACTTCGATTGGATTCATATATTTTTTTCACAGTTTTGATCTCAAAGTTATTCAAACAGAAGAAAACAGAGCCAACAATCGACCTGTTTTTTTATAATGGTTTTCACATATTTTTTTTATCCGGCTATAGGTCACTTTTTGTTAAATAATTTAACGTTTGTATAATATTCTTTAATACATTCTATATTTCAACTCTCCTTGAGAGTCGTCAACAGCGTCACGATCTAACATAAATTAATATTACTAAAACTATATCTACTATGTCTATATATATCTATACTGTAATAGATAATATCAAAAGTATAAAATCAAAAATATAGATTTTGCAATTTATATAAATCTCTTCTTTTATAAATATTTTTTTTTTGATCTATTATAATTTTTAATTATAAATGAAGCTTGTTATATTGAAAATATGTGAACTGAATTATACCGAGGTCAGCTTGCATTTGTTAATTGAATAATTTCAATTAAAATTTTTTATTGTTAATTTAATAGTTCATTTATAATTTTGATCTTTTTTACACAGTTTTTCAATTAATTTACTTCAAGCAAATTATATAAGCAGAAATTTGTTTATATCAAAATTGTTTACATTTTTAGTGATCTCAAAAATCTACGCATCAATAAAAATATAAACAAAATATATTAAAAATCAGCATGACCAAAAATTGTTTTGTAAACAAAATTTATTGACAAACAAACATGTTTTTGGACGGATCATAAATTTAATTTCTTAATTTTTTTTAATAAAAATATTTAGGCTGAAATATAATAAAAAAATATAATAAATATACACGTTTCTATATTTAAAATATTTTTAATTTTTTTTTTAGAATTATTTATTTTTACTACATGTTGTTTTTTATAATTATTATATATTTTATTATATATACATTTTTTATTTTGTAATTATTTTATTTTTTTTACATTCATTTTTGAACTTTTCGAATTATTATAAAAAACATTATTTTATTTTGACCAATATTTTGGATATAGTCTCTGATCACCTTCAGAGTACTATTCGAAATATTGGTAAAAATAAAATTTTTTATTGTTTTATTTGTGACTAAAAACTCAGTTTTCCCTGAAGATGATTATCGATAATAGTCGAAATATTGGAAAAATATTTTAATAATATATAAACTGTTTTTAAATATAAATAATAAATTATAGTATTTTTTTCTATTTAAATTGATCAATTAGCCTGTAATAAGTTATTATAAAAATAAAATCTAATTTTTAAAAATAATTTAAAAATTCATATATTACTTGTAAAATTGACCAATTAGTTCGTTCCAAAAACAAAAATAATTATTTTATTGAATAGTTATTTTTTTTAATTTAATTATTATTATATATTATATTATTTTATCATGAAAATTTTATTTTATAGAAAAGTAATATTAAATCGATGCAATTCTTTATGCCCACATTAAATATTTATCTACTAAATATACATAAAAGCTATTTAAATATTTTATTATTTAATTACTTATTTTATCATGATAAGAAATCTATATGTATATACTCCTATTTCTAATAGAAAATAAAATTATTTTTATTCTAATGAAAAGTTGTATTAGATCCATGCCATCCTTACATTAAATGTTTATCTACTAAATATTCTTTGATAAAAATTATTTAAATCAATTCATTTCCTTCTTTCAGACTTTAAATGTAAACATGCAAGGAGGAAGACGTTCACCTAGAGCTGGTATGTCATATAATTTATTTTTAATTTCGAGACCAAAGATTATAATCATATATATATTTTTTTAGTACCAGAAATAGATGATGAACATGACAACCGTCCAACAGTTAATGGTGGAGAGGGTGTAGATGATGGATTTTTACTTAAAGATCAAACTGGTGGTGCTAGACCACATGCAGATCTACCCGAAATGCCAGGATTTTCGTTCAATTATGATAGACCCGGATTTGTTGATATAAATGGTGTACCCACTCCAATTCCCGATGTAAATGCCTATCAACATAAAAAGACATTGGCACAAGGCATGATGGATTTAGCATTACTCTCAGCTAATGCCAATCAATTGCGTTATATACTCGAAACTAACAGTCGCCATCCGTATTATTATTCCAGTATAATTTTCATCACACTCAGCATTATCTTTCAAGTAAATTAATATCAAGCATTTTTATTAATATTAAAATCTAATAAATACATTTCTATTTAAAGATCGGTGTTGGTGTTGGTTTGATCTGGAATACACGTTACAATGTCAAAAATGAGAAGGAAATTTGTAAAGCGAATAAAATTAATAATTATACAGTGATTGGAATCTTTATCGTCACAATTGTCAATGTGTTCGTCTCTGCATTTAGTGTAGCTGATCGACCGGGTACATCGTAGATGAATCACTGCATAATATTGATATTAGTCAGTGAAAAGTAATTAACACTGTGATTAGTTTTAAGCTCGAATTTTAGGCTTTAAGCGTTTTATATTGAACTCATTAAATGTAAGCACGCCTATCAATTAAATTTAAATTAATTCGGAAATCATGTTCACATCCTTCAATTATTCATAAAATTCTTGTTGTAATATTTATAAAACATTTTTCTAATATTGCCAGTGGATATACATACTATATATGTATTATTTGTAGAAATATAAGAAAATAAAAAAACAAGAATATATATTTTTATAAAAAAAATTAGTGAAGTGTTTTTGATTCTAAAGATAAGCATTGAGAAATATAGTATTGAGATATAAGTGTAAGATATAGTATTAGACATCTTTAAAAAGATCTAAATCTAATCAATCCATATAAGTCAATTAAATGTTAGTTTAAACAAAGTATAAACATATTTATATTAAATATAAATAACTTTAGTGAAACTAATTATATTAACAAATAAAAATATTTATGTTGGATCAGTCAATTAGTAATCAAGCTGCCTCAGTACTGGGCATAGGCCATCTTTAACTAGTTTGCATTATCATCTCTGTAATGCAACGTCTCTAAATGTTAGTGATGTAATATCTGCCTTCTTTAATTTATAGCTTAGTTCATACTTGTATCGTTTAAAGCTGATAGTGATATTATATTTAGATATCCATATGACATATGTCTGATCTATCTAAATGTACGTATCCATATATCTGATATAATTGTTCATTGCAATAGGTATTAATTGGTTATAAATATTGGTCTTAACAAAATATCTGCGAAAGTTGGTCTTTCTAAAATGTCTGAATTGGATTTTTAATTTGCCCAAAATATTCGAAGAATTTTTCAAAAGTATTAATTCTTTAATATAAATCCTTTTGTGCACTAGAGTTATTCTGTCAAGAACTTTTTTTGCTGCTGTATAATAGTATCGACAGAACTCTAGATTAAAATATGAAAAACTTGGTACTGACACGAAACTATGCAAATTCATTGACTAGATTTCATTCAATCATTTAAATACAACAATAGATTATTTTACTATGACATTCCCATGCCCATCTATTTCAAAAATTGTAACTCACATAAGTAACATTAGTCATCGGAAAGTAATTTAGCAATCATTTAGAGAGTATTGGTTATATCTACTTTAACTTGAATATACACCTTGAAGAATGGTTTAATACTTCTTCTTAAATTTTTTTTTTAAATTGAATTTAGAATCTATTACTTAACAATTTAATATGAGTGTTTACATAGTATATAAAACAATACAATAAATTAGTTTAAGTTGCCAAGAACTTTTAAATATGTTTCCCTATCTTTACTCATATCAATACTTTACTGACAAACTGCAGTTTATCCGTAATCATCATTTGAAAGAAAGTATCCGATCTTCATTTCATTATCAGCATATAAATATATTGATTATTAACCGATCCATTCATTCACAAAATTTCTAAACCACGACACCTGCTGTTGTTCTATGCCACGTCTTCCTTGATTTGTAATAAGTTATGCTTAGTATCATCACTGAAGTTTCTCAAATAGGTGCTCTTGCGAGAATTGGTAGTTAAAAGTGATTCACTCCCTTTTTGACAGCCTTTTAGAATAAATAAAGAATAAATAATTTCTTACGCGTTCAGTACAAGGTAACTTTAGCAAGCAGAGTTTCGACAACATTTCAAAAGCTTAAATTTTGTTTATTGTTGTAACTTTAAGTATATCGTATATATGGATTTATATCAAATCCACCGTTAGTTAACACTTTTGTAGAGTTGAAGATAATATTTCTCGGTATTTCTATTTCTCTTCAGCACCTTATTTATATGTCCGGTCTTTAACATATGTATAATCTAAACAGAAATCCAAACATTCCAAACTCTATATATTCGGCAATCGTTTCTTATAACGATAGGCTCTAGATATTGATTTTACACTCTTTAACTAAGAGGGCTGCCTTTTAAATCTTACGCCAAACGATGAAAACACAATGGTTAATCAGTAATAATGGTTTTATTGTTTCTCGAAGTATTGTCCAAGATGATCAATTTATTTTTGCTTTGGATTGTACCAATTTTCGAAACAGTTTCACCACTCTGGTATTGGTATCGCCAAGACCAGGCTTTTGAATGTCGTAACGGGCTGCTCGGGCATAGAAAAAACTCGTCAAGCATTTTTTCTTAATATTTGAACAAGAATAAGTCATCGAGTGCTAAGTTAGGACTATAAGGCGGTTAACCCATTAGTTCAACGTATTGAGTGTACAAAATCTCTTTTATTTGAGCTGATGTGTGGGAACTCGCTTTGTCGTGGTAGAAAATAATCTTCCTTTGAGGGTTGATTTTTTTTTTCAAATATTGTGAGACTTAAAAAGCATCATATTTATTATAAGCTTTGATGTTACAACATTTTTGTGATATAAGAATAAAGAAATTTTTAGTAGTTTTGGGGACTTCAAATATTGTAAATAACTGAATAAATTAGTTAACATCTGTGTTAGATAGAGAAATGTATAAGTTCTACTAAAAGCAGACTTCAAAATTGTGGAGTTATAGATTTGTAAATAAGCATCTTTATGTCAGATGACAAATTTCCCATTATGAGTTCAAGCATCCTATACTTCAAATGATGTTAAACGACCACGGATTTATGTAGTAGATATAACATAATACCAAGGGCATCTATGGCCTTCAAGATTTAATGGGTTTTTTTTTGTTTGTGTGCGTATATATGCTTTATATATATATTACTAGTATATATATAAATAAATAATTTATTTAATGGTATGTGTGTATAATAGTATAATGTACTTATTATATTCACATGAAGTACGATTACCTTATCGTAAAGGGTAAACAGAACATAATTTTAAAATTATGCACTAAGAGTTTCTAAAAATTATTGAACATAAAATACTCAAAATTAAACTAGAATTTTGTAATTAAAATATCATTTTATTGGTATTAAGAGTCTATTAATATTTCGGTTCTTCACTTTACGTATTTTTAGTGTAAGTAAAAATTAGTATAGTTCTATATTTATTTTTAAAACTTGAAATAATATTGTTTGTAGGGGACTTTTGTAACCAATTTCAACATAAGATTTAATATACATATACTATATGCATTTCAAAGATTCTTTAAATACTTAAATATCACATTAATAATTTCCGGTGATTCGTCATTTTATGCGTTGGAGAAGAGGATTCCCTTATTTCTTAAGAAGTTTTAATAAAAAATTTTTTGCTAAAAAAAAAAACAATGCATATGTTAAGCTAGCTTATTTTTTGACAGAATTTGAATATCTTTTATATAGATATTTTTGTTAGAAATAAATTATTCGCTATATAATTTTTAAATATTTCTAAATATATTTGTGAATTATATATTATAATTTTATTTAGTGTACACATGTACTAGTTTAATTCTTCTATTACTTTCGGGATTCAAGATTTTGGATCAGAAAATGGAAAATATTGTTTTAGTTATTTTCAATATTTACCGAGATTTCTAAAAATTGGAACAATCGACTCTGAAGAAGTCTTTAGTTAAAAAAACCCTAATATTCCGAAAACATTTCATCAATAAAGTATAAAATCGATTAAATATATACTCTTTATAGTTAATATCTAATCAGATTCTGTACTTAAATGACTTCGAAATTTACGGTGATTCAAAATTAATTTTTTTATTAATTTATCAATTGTTTTCTAAAATTTTTAATATTTTTGTGGTTAATTTGAATTTTATTTATGCAGCATTCTTTAGCAGTTTTTTTTTTGTTGTTAGTAAAGTTGTAAGTCGTGGAAAATATACGAAAGTAAGCTGTGACTTTTCGAAATTTTTATTTACTATATACTAAAAAAATTAATTTATTTATATTCACATACACAATAAAAAAAAATATTAATTTAAAATCAATATTATTTTCAAATAATGATATATTTAAGAAAATCAAATAAAATTAAAAAAAAATAACAAAAAATAAAATCAAATGAAATTAAATAAAATTAGACAAAACTAAACGTTTGATTTTAAACTAAACATTTGAATATATTAATAATAAAAATAAAATGTAAACTACATATACTCCACAATGTGTCATAGTATAGACTAATAGTAGTTCTTTTGAATCACTGGTACATAATATAACCTACATGAAATATTACATGAGGTATTCAAATGGATCTAATCTTATGTTTGAGAGTTTCTTCTACCACATTGTTTATTTATTTATAACAATTAAACTATATTTAGTAGTCTAACCCATATAATAAAATAATGTTTACAAAATAATACACTAATAGTTGATATATGATATAGTAGCAAAAAAAACATGATATCCACTTCTTGTAATTAAAAATTAAATCACCAAGATATCCTGGTTTGGAACTAGAATAGATGTCAATCAACTGAGCACTATAGTTTTAAAAAAAAATAAAATTCCTTTAATTCCTTTTACTGCTAATGTCATCATTTTTATAATTTTATATAGATTTAAACGTAAAGCACGGCAAAGTAGAACTAATTGATGTTTCTATTGTAATAAATATATGGCCTGACTATCATCATTGTCATTGTTTAATTAACGTAGTTCCTTGGAATACGATATAATGTATTATACTACTCTTAAAAAATGCGTCATTTTTTTTTTAAAAAAAATATAAAGAAACTTTTACATGGTTCCAAATCATAAAATCAGTTTTTTTGAAGTGATATCGAGCTGTAATGGTATTTTAAGGTGTTTAACTTTTATAATTCTCAATTACTTTATATATATTTATCAATAAAAGACGACAAAGTAGAATGAGTTGATGTTTCTAATTTTAATAAATATATGTTTTGACTTTTAAACATAACAATTCGACATCAAAAGTGTTCAACGCAGTTCTTTGCACCACACAATTAGGGTATTGGACGACTACTCTAAAAAATGTGTCCATATTTTACAAAAAATAAAAACTTTTTACATGGTTCTAAATCATAAAATCAATTTTTTAAGTAAAATATGAATATAACAGAAGTTTTGAGGTGTTTACTTTTATAATTCTGAATTACTTTATATAGGTATATATCCATACATAGAACACGAAAAGTAGAATGAATTGGTGTTTCTAATTTTGATAAATATATGCTTTGATTTTTAAACATGTGAATTTGCAGAATAAGTATATGAAT